GAACAATTCATCAGGCAGGCCCACTCTTTACTCTCGATTAATTCATACATAAACCTTTGGCTGAGCTAAACATCTGTGACTGCACCGCACAAAGTTCCTTGGGTAGTCAGATCTTGCACACAAATGTGATCGCTCTGGAAAATCTATAACCACCTAAACACTAAATGGACATTATAAACAAAATATCCCTGAATGAATGAATATATAAAACCTTATGCAAAAATTAAATTAACAACAAATATCTGTAAAGTAATAAAGTACATCTAATAAACAAATTATCAATCCAAGTCCAAACCACCCTTAGTGACCAAAGTGGAAATAACGTGACAAATATAGGGTTATATTGAGATCAGAAGACACCTGCTTATCTGATGATCCTCTATAGGCTTTATAAGAATCCCCTCTACAGGTAAAGATTAACTTGAACAAAACAAAGGGGTATATTTAATTTAATTGACTAAATGGACATTGTTAACCCCGCTGCCACAAGAAAAGCCTACCCCTATTTATAAAAAATATTAACAAAACATTAAAACACGCAGTTAGTCAACTTCCCACCAATTAGGATTTTTGAACATATAGCCTTGTGTTATTGGTGCAATGTCATGTATAGAGATGTGGAAATTAGTCATGATGTATATGTGGTGCATATTCGAACTTGCTGTAACTAACAATGTACCTAATATTTATTTTCGTGATGGGAAACTATACACTCACAACAGTTTCATTTCTTGTTGTGGCCATAATCGGCTAGAATGGATGATGATCATTTCATAACTGTAGGCATCTTCAGAAATCTTGTTTTTAAATCCCTAACCACTGAGACAACCAAGTAAACCAACTGAGACTATCTCCTATGGTAATCTCTTAATCTACCTACAGAGTACTCAATTCATTGATTCAATGGCTTTTTTTGTGGGTATGGTTTAGGCCACATAGAAATATACATGTATGCATTTATGCCAACTTTTAAGGCAGCCAGCCATAATCATTAGAAGGCAAACGAGTTTGCAGGCATGATCTGACTGCCTGGAAAATTTACTTTTTATATATTATTACCTAAATCTGCAAACTCATATAACTCTATGCATGTTTAGGGCTATGGAGATAGGAATTGTACAGCTAAACCCTTCTAGTGCCAACTAATCTATAGGGAAAATAATAGTGATCAGCCAATGTAAGCCAATGCAACTGATTACTATACAAGATCAGTGAGATGAGGGTGGTCTGGTTCTTGCAGACAAGAGAATCATCATCTGATCAATAGCAAACCAAAGAAGGCCAACCAACTATTCCTCTCAAAATATTAGTCATGAGTATCTATTTTGAAGTAAGATTACCCATAGACACAACAATCTGCCAATCTGTGAAGGTGAGGGTGCGGTGTGATGGTAGGAAAGAATGTTGTCTGGACCTTAGTTCCTTTTTCCTATTTGCTTTTTTTACACAAAATAAATCATAAAAATGTCTTATATTCCAGTAGAAAATGTCACAAGTAATTTGTTACTTTAAAACTAAGAAGTGTTTTTCACATCAATCAGAACATACAGTCATGGAGTCTAAATATGCAAATTTCTAATTTATTATAGACATTAGTGTCAGACTGATCTATGAAGAGCTCACCAGGAAATCTAGTTACTGAAGCCCACACAGAGACAACATTAGCATATCATATGTAAAAGCGAAGGCTTACATACTTGAAATATACACACTACTAATTTACCATGACTGTGGCAGGTTATGAGACAAGGAGGGAAGTAGTGTATCATTTCATATGTATAACTGAAATGGTCAGTCCAAACACAGACAAGCGACATACTAATTCTCACTGCCGGGAGCTTAGTGTTAGCAATTTTTGGCTCAATCCTGAGAACTGGTGTGCACAGTGTAGCTGGCCAGCATTTTAGAAAGTAATAAAATATCCACTACACTAAACAGCACCCCCAACTGAACACCTAACCATCCTCTAAGGCAGCCTTTCTCAACCAGGGTGCTGCGGAACCTTCTAGCTTCCTTAGGGGTGCCTTGAAATATCCACACAGCATCATTCCTTTCCATGGTGCAGACATGCTTCTGATGTGGAGGAGGCTCCTAAAGTGAAGGGTAACTCTAATGTGAAAGGAAGGCTCTAATGTAAAGAGGGCTTTTGATGTAAAGAGGGCTCCTGATGTGAAATAGGGGTTTGGATGTGAAGAGGGCTCTTGGTGTGAAAGTGGGGAAACCTATGTTTCTGTGTTTTTACGTGTGGTCCCCCTTAAAATCCATAGAAGACCTCTATCTGGGATAAAGGTCTGGTATGGATTTTGGAGGGGACTCACATCATTTTTTACATTTATGGTTTTTACATTTTAGACTGGGGTGCCTTGAGATTTTGCATACTTTTTAAGGGTACTGGGACTGAACAAAGGTATAGAAACACTGCTCTAAGGTGAGCCACTTAAAGTATAGCTAAAGCCCAAACCTTTTGGATAGAATAGGGGATGGTTAAGATCTCTGTCAGTACCTGTGTCCCATTGGGGAGACTTCCCTTCACTTCCTGCCCTGTAGACACATCAGGAAGTGAGTGAAATCTCTCCAAAGTTAAGGAAACCCCCTCTCAGATAGTTGTTACTGGAAACAGTGTTCCCATTGGAATATTTCCTGTAGGTGTACTCTCTATATAATCTGGTACCAATTCAAAATGTTGTATTTTTGTTACTTTCAATCATCACCAGGATAAACAGAGAGGTCCCCATTGTGTCCCCATTGGATCTTCCCAATGGGGACACATACAGCAAAAAAAATCCTGACAGGGGTTTTAACCTCTCAACAATCTATCCAAAACAAAAAAAAAACTATAGGAACACACCCAACTCCCCAACCCTAGCACTTAACCTTATAGTAGCCAACATATATTGATCTGTATTTTCCAATTTGTCAGCGCTTTAATGGAGGTCTCACCAAAAAACATGGAGGGAGTGACCCAGAAAGGACTTCAACAAATTTGCACAGAGGGAGCTGCTGTTCCGTGGCAGGTTGGGAAGCCTCAGAGTACATGCAAGAAAAAACAAGAGAAGAGTGCCTTCTCCTCATGAAATACTTTTATTTGTCCATAAAAAACTGAATAAAAATATATACTCACAAACAATGTCAGTATCATAGGCAATCAGAGCAACCGTCCAGACTGGTAAACTTTGGTCGGCACCATATTAAACTCTCAGACATCCACGATGTGAGCAGAAGCAATAAAATGAGCCTTGCTGACGCATATCTAGGGATAAACCTAAGTATCAGCGATTGCAAAGGAGAGATTTATGATAGATTAAAATATCGACCAATACCACATATACACTATCGAAAATACGAAACACAAAATATTGAGAATTAGATAAGATCTATTAAAAACCATAATTTAATCAATCTGTATTATGATCACCTGTCTGAAACACATGCAGATTCTGTTAGATCATTCAGAAACAATTGATAAAACTCTGCCATGGCTAATCAACTTGCTAATGTTGACTGGCCGTGGCGGAATTTTATCGATCAATTCCACATCCGTGTGTGTCAGACAAACAATTGTAATACACATTGATTATTTTCCTTTTTAATGGATAATTTCTGATGTTTTTGTCCATCAAAACCTTATATGTTGCATAGAAGTATTTTAATTGATGATGCATCGCTTGTTTGCTTCCTTCGTACCTAAGTTGATTACAGATTGATACATGTATGGCCACCTTACCACTAACATAACCCGTAAACTGGGCCTTAACACTTCTTTTCTTCTGTATGCTCCTACACCAAGAGCTTCATGCAGCACTGAGATCCCATAGCTAGAAGAACCTGATCCAAGCAGTCTTTATTATGGAAAGTCTCACTAGGATAGCTGACTTAGCTTAGAGCAAAATGGAATTGGCATTGTAGTTTTGAGTGTGGCATTTTGGCACCACTGGATTGCCACACCCAAAAACTAATTTATCATACTTGAAAATTTACCGTACCCTTAACCTAACCTTTAAGCCCTAAACTTCAACGCTAACATATCGTTAAACTTAACCCATAAACGGATACCTAAAACTTAACCTAATGCCCTATTCCTAAACTGAAGTTAACCACCACCCTCTGCATGACACTCATAGGGTTCAGATGCCTATTCCCTGTCTGCAATTTGTGTTTCCTCCCAACAAGGAACCACAGCGGTTAGCTGGGGACGCAGACATCCAACACACCCGGAAGTGTGCCATATGCAAAAAAATGCTTTAAGATAATTTGTTCACTGTGGCATTCCATAAGTCACTGTGCCATGTGCATATGTAAATGACAGCCTGACTTTAATGTGTTAACATGTATTTTTAGTTTTTCTCAGTAAACCTACAGGTGTACTATTCGTGGTATTAGTATACAACTGAATATTAACCAAATCTCACTTTTATTAAAACATGCTATCATGCCATTAAATATCACTCTAATAAATGTAAGTTATCACAGTGTGATATCATTAAAATATGCTTCCTGCAGAAGCACTGCATAGTATCTGCAACACACAATACTACATAAATCTGTGTTATGGCTAATAAAATATAGACACTGTATTTAGCCAGATATAGCAGATCTATCAATGTAATCTACACCCAAAGGGTCATTTCTAACAGGTTTCAAATGGGTAATAGCTATATGCAAACACAGAAGTGCATATCCCACTGAGTTACTAAGTAATACATGGGAGGGAACTTTCTAGCCTTTCTCAGAGAAATTCTGCAAGCAATATAAATATATTTCAAAATACTCGGACAGGCTAAATTACATTTCATTCCTAAAGGGGTGAAATCGCTCACTTTGGCCCTGTGCTGAGTCTTCTTCCCAGGGACCCCCTGCCTTGCCATGCTCTGTCCCATGAAGCTTTGATGTGTTGATGATGGTGGAGAAGGTGACAATTCACACCTCTGCACACTGGATAAAGACTGAGGCAGCCCAGCTCTGCTCACTACTCAAAAAGCACTGAAAGAGCAAACAGATACATGGACAGTTCTTCTGCACCTCTCCATTACCAGGACTGCAACATGTACCAGAACTGTGCCACTCTCTACCAGTGTGGCTATCCTAGCTCCGAGGGATACAGCAGTCTTTCTCCTGCTTCTTCCATTGACTCCAGTGGCCTTTCCCCTCCATACATGCATTATACAACCTCTCAGGAGGCCTATGGTAACATTTCTTCAACCACCACTCAGACAATGAGCTTGAAAGCTCAGATAAAAAACTGTGCTGAAAAGAAAAGCACAAAGAAGGGCAAGCTGCCTTATGGCCAACGACAAAGCGCAAGCGAAAGAGAGAAGATGAGAATGAGGAACCTCTCCAAAGCTCTTCAGAACCTCAGAAGATACCTTCCTCCTTCCATGGTGCCTGCAGATAAGCCTCTGACAAAAATTGAAACTCTTCAGTTGACAATCCGCTACATATCACATCTGTCAGAACAGTTGGGACTAAGTGAAGATGTCTTGGAGCAAAGAAGATTGGAGGCAATGCAAAGACTAAACAGATGCCCACAAAACTTTAGTCAATACATTGATATGTCGGATCCGTTATGCTCGAAGCCTACAGAAAAGAATTCCATGTCCTTTTCATCCTCTACAGAACCTGCAGCTCCTGCAAGACTTTTGTCTGTTGAACCTGAACTGCAAAATTCACAAAACAGCTACAACATGTCGTACGAGATCCCTTACTTCTCAGAGCTACAAACCAGCTCTCAGCAGCTTCAATATGCAACTGCAGAGACCACTTTGCCTCAACTTTCTACTGAGTTCTATTCCACATGTCTCCAGCAGATGGTAAGAGACTATCATTCTTTCTCTATTGAATTGTTTTATACCTATATAGCTTCAGATAAGTAATTGTGGGCCACCAACAAATACTTTGGTACTTTAGTCCTAACTCTACAATATATGTAGCCTTCTGTAGTGATGATAGTAACAACTGTTTGCCAATAAATAGCTCACACTTGTAGCTCACACTTGAAGTTTACTGATTGAATATGTTATAATATTCCATTTCAATACTAATAATATTAGTGGCATATAATAATATTTTAATGCCCTTTGCACATGAATTCCTAATTCCTACTTAGTCTAATCCTTATTAGTAGATAGCAATATGTGTTCTTATCTTTATTCTAACCTGCATTATATTATGTGTTTTTTAGATGACCTGTGACGAATACACCCAAGTCATGGATACACCCAAGTCATGCCTCAACTGGAAGAGAGCTTCCAATACTCAACAAAGTTCAATCATTTAAATGATGATGTTAATATTTTGTATATAGATTCATATTTTTATGTGTATGAATACAAATTGCCTATATTTATGGTAATATACAATTATTTATTAAATAATGTTATTTTTCTAAATAATGGTACATTTCTTTGAAAGTAAATTTAGAACAAATATTTCATCTATACATTTAAGGGGTTGGCATTATTATTACTTAGGCCCCTTTCACAAGGGTGGTCAAATGAGATGCCCAATGGTAGTCTATGGGCAGCCAGGGGTAAACACACGGGCATCTCTTTACACCCGGGTACCACCGACTCCGGCCAGGTCTGGAAAAACAAACCGGACCTGATTGCGCTGGATCGGGTGTAATCTGATGCATATGGACACATGTCCAATTACATCTGACTCTGGATAGACTAACATGGGGTCCAGTAGTTTTAGTTTAATCACAAGATGGATCAAATCGGTGACATCCGATCCACATTGCTCCGATCAGGAGGGGATCCATGCACGGATACACTCCTGATCAGCCCGTGTGAAAGTGGCCTAAAATACGTTATATTTATCCTGCCAGCTTCTTATGCAGATTTACTAAAGACTCTGCGAAATGCCTTGGTAACTAAAACTTGTCTGCTGGTGCCTATGCTGAAGATAGGGGGGACTGCTGAAGGCACATACCTGTCTTATAAAACACAGAAGTGATCAGTCAAGATAATTAATCCTGACGGATCAGTTTTCCAAGCAGGGTCTGCCAGGGTTGTGGGTGGACTATAAGAAAGCAAACATCCAATGATCAGACTGTAAGTGGCTGGATAGGGCACGCATTCTCTATTATCTGTAAGCACCTTTAGTTTTGCACCAGCTTATTAAATCTACATTTTCCCAATAACTGAGGTCCCAGGTTAGGCGAGGTTCTCTGATGTCTGTGGACACCTTTAGATTGCCCGCAGAGAGTAAAAGGAAGTTGGAAATGCTGACTATTCATCCACCCAAAGGGCAGTAAGTGCTACAGAGAACTCTATAAACTTGCAGGGTTGGCTCTGCAAACCTTGCAAGTTTATAATAAGAGCCCATGCACACCAATGCAGTGCGTTAATGGCAGGTTCCATGAGATTAACCTGCGTTACCGCACAATGCACCTACCGTGAATTACAGTGCGGCAGGTGCGTTGCATTTTCATTTATTCATTAAAGTGCACCCCCCAGCCGCAATGCACTGGACCATGCGGCAACATACCGCAATACCGGTATGTGCATTGTGGCACGGTCAATCGCATTTTGGCCAGGAGATGTATTTAGGGTGCCATTCCAATGAATGACAACACAATTTTACAAACTGTATTGCACGGTAGGTGCGTTGAGCGTTAATAGTACGGAATCGTGCAGTTAATGCACCGTATTGGTATGAATGGTCCCTAAAGGAGGGTGGAGGAAATGCAGAACAGGTAGAGGCTGGCAATGCTGCTTATTGCAGAGGGAAACAATAGCAATGGGGCTTGGTGTTGGAACCAGCTTTTGGCTGGAGGGCATATGGCAGCTACCATACACACCCCTCATGTCTATGGGCTACTGAACTCCCACCTAAACTTTTCATTTTGGATAGAGTAGGAAATGCTTAGATCCTCTGTCTGGTTTTTATTGCTATATGTGCCCTATAGGGTTATTCCCCACTCACTTCTTCTCAGAACAGAAAGTGTTTAGTAATCTCTCAAACAGGGAAACAGGCAAAATAATGACATATGTTTAAGAGGGATGAACAGTTAGAACATCTGAACATGTTTTATTGCTGTCTGGGCATTTCTGTCACGGTGACAACTGCATCTTTTTTAAAGGGTGTCACAGGAATAGGAAGTGAAGTAAAATCTCCGCACTGGGGTCTCACACAGAAATAAAATTAACATATGTAACCAGTGTATGCAGAAATAACAGAAATTATTTTCTATGTGTTTTATTTGGTTGATATTGTTTTGTTGTCATACTTTCTATGAAATTTGGACTTTTAAAATGTGGTAAACACAAACAGACTATAGCCTGGCAAGGAAAAAAAAAGACACAAATGTTCTAAACCCTCTTGCATGGCTATCACAACACTTTACATCTACAGGGAGTTTAATTATCTATGCAAATCAAACTCTTTATCTCCAAAGCTTTTTTTACTGATGCATATCAGTTGGTGGAAAGAGCTGACTCTAATCTGATCCTGTAGTCTGAGTGTATTGCAATGTTGTGAAATGCACATGCATGATGCTTAATGAAGAAGGTCGTTTTGCAAATTTAACATATGTTAGAAAAACTGTGCAAATCTTTGCAACTACTTTATGTACCCAGGTGAACGATACCGTGGTTTGTTCAGGAAAAATTGGGCCGTTATTTGGTGATAAATGTCAATGGTAAATGGGTTTTTTTTGTTATCAAAGGAATAATGGCCCATAATATTTAAAAAATATCAATTTTGTTTGTTTAGATATGTTTTACAGAAGAATTAAATAACCTTATTAGTAATTCCTGATTACCAGTAGGGATAAATGTGAAAGGTTTGGTGCTAAAGTGATACCCCCCACTGGCTAGCCTTTGAAGTGGAACTTTATGTATAAAATGAAAAGACATATACTATGCCTCTACTGTATTATAGGATTCTTATCTGCTTGTTCGCCGTCTTACTGACAATGTACACTGAGCTCTACATGCGCAATCTGTACAATTCTATTAAGTGGAGTTAATGTGTAATTAAAGTCTTCTTGTTAAAATTTGCTGACAGTCAGTTTTCTTTTTATATGAAAGAAATGACTGTGTAAGACTTTTATGCAAAAAAAGCTTCTACCCAGGGCCGTCCCTATATTGAAGCAGCTCTAGGCTCCGGCCTCAGACGGCATCTCTTTCGGTCACGTGGGACAACCTTTCCGGCCAGAGTGTCCCAGGTTGCTAAGAGCCAGGTGGGAGACTCTCCCCTCCCAGCAACCTGGGGCTCTGGCCGGAGATTTGGAATTTTAGGTGGAGGCATGTTTTTTTTTGTCGCAGGGGTCCCCCTTAAAATTCCTACCAGACCTAAAGAGGTGACTTTTGAGGGGAACCCCATGCTTTTTTTTTCCTCTTCTGCGGAGTGTTTTTTTTTCTTTTGTCTAATGTCCCTTTACCTGCAACAAAATTTTATTTGTAACGAAAATTCATTTGTACATACTACCGCTAACCAAAATCCAGATTTTTTTTAAAAAAAAAAGTTGATGCTTAACACAATAACAATTCATTCAGGAAAGACATTCAGATGCATCTGAAATTTTCGTTATCGGAAATTTGGATTTGTACGATTTTGTTATTTCTGTCATTCGGAACTGCGGATGCATCCGACTGCACGACTTTCCGAAAATTATATTTCGGAACGAAACAAATTGCACATGTCTAAGGCCAATCATGGTAGACAAAGATTCTAAATCTTGAAGAAGACCAAGTGAAAATGTCATTGAGAGGGAGCTTGCAGATGTCCCATTGCTGGAGGGAGGTGAGTATTGTTCTGCTTTAACTTCAGCATGTGTGATCAGCACCCCTGGCTTTCCCTGCCCCCTCCCCCTTTCCCAACAGGGTCCTCTTCCTTTTTTTTCTTCTCCAGTGATCAGTAGTGTCTCAATGCTGCAGAGAGTGACATAATGGTGTCAACAGCATTCTCTGTAGATGGTACTGTGAGTACAAGGCACTGTGATGATGCACCCCACGGGGGTGTGCCCATGGCCCTCTAAGTTCACAGGAGAAGAGGCCACCCCAGAAGAGGCCTGCTGCTGGACCACAGAATACTGAATACTTGCATTCCAAAGTTTTACTACAGTCAAGACCTTTTTAGATTTGGTTTTAGTGGGAAAGATTTAGCAACTCTGTAAGGTGTTTATTGCTGACTCAATCCCTGTTGAGATCTTCCTTCACTTCCTGTTCAGGTGACCACTGTTTCTGGGACAGGAAGTGAACATTTTCTCAACAGGGAGTCAATCAACAATAATAAAAACCACCCCCATCCCACCCCCCACCAAAAAAAGTTTTTTTATGGTTTCCCTCAGACCCTGTCTTGATGACCCTTCGTATCAGTAGAGGAAGTGAGGGCAAAACCTCCTTAATCGGGATCTGGAAAACAGTACAAACATGAAAACGTTGGCAGCATTTCTCACTCTTTTTATGCCCTACTGGTGACAGTGCGGTCACTGCTTTCCTGCTACTCCACTGGTAGGCTGCACTGTCTTCCCTCCAAATAAGTGTGTGTTCCCCCTACTCCGCCTCACCCCAGTAAAGCACTCCTGCACCCATGGAAAAAAATTCTCCTTTTAGAAGGCATTTAGGGTGAAACATAAACTAGGATAATAAATCTGTCACCATATGCACTGGAATATATATATATATTGCAGCTTATAAGTTCTTAGATGTGATGACTGCATTACTGTTTTTTTTCCCCATGCTTAGAAGATCTTCTGCAAGTTCATAAAGTACCTGTTGATCTTGCAGGAAATGGCATGTCCTTGTCACTTGCTGTGAGCTGAAGTGAAAATCGCAAACAATGTTATCTTTCTTCCAAGCTATCTACTGTAAAGTACACCCCTCCAGTAAATGAGACAAAGAGAGGAAGATGTGTTAGCAGTCCTGTCCTATGATAGCTCCCTTCATAGATACAGTATGGTGAGTAAGCATGGTCATCTAGGAACAGGGAGTGTGGTATTTTCAGGATCAACAGGGGACAATAAAGGGGGAAAAAAGCCTGAAAATAAACACGAATGCAGCCTTGGATACGATTAGTACAGGGTTTCTTTCAGAAAATATATAATTCTGGGGGGAAGGTAAAGGCCCCTTTCACACAGTTCCATCAGGAGGGTATCTGTGCACAGTTGTGACATCCGTGTCTGTCCAGCTTTTTCCATGAGAGATGAAGCAAAAAAAAGAATATACCTCACATGCCGGTCTATAGCAAATTGGATTTAAATTGACTTGTGTCTGTTTACATCAGATTACCCCCGATCCTGCACGATTAGGTCCGGGGAAATGGAACACT